GGTTTGCATCTGTCAGGTAAAAAGATGATTATAATCAATTAAACACTATGTTGCATAGGTACTTCTATCATGAAGCCGTACATGTACCCGACATCATTCCTTGACACACCTTAAATATATGCATACATTTATTTAGAGGTATGCTCAATTATACTATACATGCTTTAATTTAAACCACTTGTCAGGTTTGTTTCAGCCCATATTCGGGCAAAAACTACAATTTCAATGGGTTGTTTATGTATCTAGCGCAGACCTATGATTTCAATCCATGTGTTTCAGCCTTGTCCCTGTACCCTAACTTTTATAAACTTTTTGTGACCTGTACCTGTACTCCCACCCGCACCTATACCAATACCAGTACCCACGCAACTTAGATTAAACATAATTTATTTGTGTGTGTTAAGGTGATAATTCCCTGGAATCAGTTTCATCTATTCGCCATTTATCTTAGTCCTTATGACGATCATCCGGAATCTTTCTTCTTACAGGTGCAGTAGCAGTATGATTGAGTATGAGTATGAGGAATTCTTATGTCAACTTAAGTGGACCATCCACCAAACTTTCTATCCATTGATGATACCTAAGGATCCATGCAAGATATGAAGAGACTTTATATATATATATATATATATAGAGAGAGAGAGAGAGAGAGAGAAATATGGATGCAAGATATGAAGAGGCTTTTTATATATATATATATATATGAGTGGATAGAAAGTTTGGTGGACAAAGGCCTCTTGTCCACTTAAGTTGACATAAGTTCACCTCTATGAGTATAGCAATTTTACACTTAAAGATCATATCTAAACAGCCATATTTATGAGTCATACTACAAATAGTCTGTTACATGCATAAATCTTACAATTCTAAACGTCATTAAAAATTTTGACCTAGGAACTGCTTATTATAGACTAAAACATCTCTCTTTTTTGACCTAGAATTTACTAGTGAAAAATGAAATTACTAGATGACTAGGTTTATTCTCTGGAAGAGCCAGAATTCATTTTGTGTATTGAAGACTATGTAGCTGTGACAAAACATAAATCTAAAGGGATCTTAAAGGCAGAGAATCAGGTTTTTCAACATATCCTATATTTTTACTGAGTGTAATATAAGTAGATATATTCTCATATTGAGGCACATTAGCTATCTCCAAGTTACGTAAGAAAACAGATTGTAACACCGTCGGCTTACAATGGGGGTGATACACTGACAGTTGATATACTAAGCTCCTAATTTTAACTATATGATTAACACAAATATGGCACCAAGTCGTGCATTTTAAGTGATTTAATGAATGAGAAGATAGAACATGTTTTATCATTTGAGTTCTAAAAAATGTCTAGTCTCAGCATGTGAAAATTGCAGATCAGTCTAGAGAAATATAAGTTGAATTAACAAAACGACTTACCATCAGCTGCAAGATTGGCAATCACCTTGGCAGCATGGACTTGCACATCCAAATCTTCAGATCTTAACATAGTTAACATATTGGGAAGGCCAACTGAATATGAATGACAAATGAGTACATGCATCAGAAGAGAAGGGATGAAACAAAAACTGACTGTAAACATATATTACGAACTAAGAAGCATATTATGCATTTAGTCAAAGAGTAATGCCTTCTTCAAATATCTTGGCAATAGTAGCCCTTTGGCTAGATAGAGTCTCCCTTGACTTGCTCGACTTGGGTAAATTCATCTGACCAAATCCAGATGCTGGTTTAACCAAACTTGCATCTTTACACAAGCTTTTATCCTGCAAATGAGAGCAAAGAATGACACTTCAAGTCACAACAGGAACAACAAACATGAACCGGGATAGAATTAAAATATATTTAATAATTACCTCAATTTCAGCATGATTATCATATAAAAGCCTTTTCAATTTGATAATTTCATCTTCAAGTCCCTTCCTTTGCCGTTCTTCAGCTAAAAGTTTATGTTGCACAACTTTAAGCTCTTCTGTTAACAATTCCTATTAGCAAAAAAACTCAGGTCAGTATACATATTTCATAAATACTATCATTATAGGCTTAAAAATAATCATGGCATAAACTAAACTTATTTTGGTTATACTGAATATGAGCTGCCACCTTATTTAGGAAAAAAGGAAATACTAAGAGATACAGGTGGTGGGGTCCGCACCTTCCAATATGACTAGCAAGATGGGCCTCACCACTAGTCTATCTCATGATAGCTCATTTAGTAAAATGAGCTGCCACCTCATACCCATTTTTCCTATTTAGAAATATGTTAATGAAGCTCAGATGTGCTTTGAGCCTAGCCCTAGAGCGTTTGGGCATCTTTACCAAATAACTAAAGAGGTAGGTGATATGTCCTTGAGGCCATCATTATCAAGATTTTATTCTTGTCAAATATTTACAACGCACGAGAACATTATGATCCATCTTAAGAAGCTGCAACAACTTGCAAATGATGCTAATTCTGCAAAAGTATGTTGCATTGGTACTTCTATAATGAGGTTGTACCCGTATCCCACACTTCACAATTCAAATACCATGAAGATCCAGAATCCTTCTACATCTTTTACTCTGTCTTCCAAAGGGTTATGTGGAGGCTTTGAGTGGGCTTCTTCCGAATAGTTTCACCCCGAGCATTTGCTAAAGTGAGGAACAACACTTCTCATAGAAGCTTTCCTAATCACCCTCATTCAAATTTCCTATGGGTCATCGATGAGATAACTTATTTTTAGAGCTTACATTGGACGAACTACTCCAAAAGTGGGAGTCATCGAGACTCTTTGGTTGGCATCAATATCCAACTTGCATTGTGACGGCAATGGTCTATGCCTTATGACTCTTATCCAGCTAAACCTTGAGAAATGCAACACCAATCAATCATACAGATCAAATGGTTCCTTACGTCCAGGCTTTTAGCAGTTTGCATATTCATCTTGTCAATAGCAAGACTCTATTTGTAACAGTTCATTTATAACCCCTTGAGAGCAATATGTATGCATGTATGAATGCTGAGTTTTTTACTATACTATAAAAGAGGAGCACTGGTAAATTTAGTTATATTTGTAACATGTACAACAGCTCATGTACATCTAATGTGTGTATGTGGTATATTGTTATAAGTCTTGGCTCAGTACATCAGTATAGGTTTGTTTTGCAAGGAAGAAGACAGAAGGTTGACTGCAAATTAACTTCTTTTTTCCTTCTCTTTGTGTGATGGTTTTTCTTGCGGGGACAAAGGAAGGGGGTGAAAGACTTTTATTCAAGCAATTACCTCAAACGCCGATACAGATTGCAAAAAATCACCATGTCAATGATAGAAGTCAAAAGAATTTCTGGGACATGCATATTACCCAATTTAAAGCATGTACATCATTTTTTCGTGTCTTTACCTTTGTGGATAGAAGTTCACTATTCGTTTCTTCTAGAAACAGAATTTTACTTGCAGCCTCTTCATTCAACTTTGATATGCTATGCAACTTCGAGTTGAGCTCATCCACAGTATTTGTTTGCACCTGTAAAGTTACAAGTTACTGTTTACAAGAGAAAAGAAACTAAAAGCAAGGACAATGTACTAGAAACAATAACAATATGAATTTGTATAAATTCACAACAGAAATTCTGATAGTGGAGGGCAACAAGGAATTGTGGCACATTAGTAATCAGGATTCTCAAATAACTACTTTACTCCAAAGCTTAAGTTGATGGGTTAAAAACGTAATATCAAACAAATTTTATTAATAGGGATTACAAACATAGGTTACAGACATAACTACTTTAGATAGCATCATAACTCTAAATAACATGTAGTATGAGGATCTCCTGATCTTAAAGTTACGGTCAAAAGACCCGGGCACCACACCGAAACTCCAAAGTTATGATGAGAGTTGAGAGTTATATTTTTATGCTCCAACATGCTCCCTCAGGTTGAACATCCTTTTTATGAGAAGCCTAAACTCATTCAACAGTATCAACATTTTTTTTCCTAAATATGCTTTATGACTCATAGAAATTGAACCTAGGTTGCTCTAATACTATGTCAAAAGACCCTTCCACAACACCAAAACTCTGAAGTTATGATGAGGGTTAAAGGTTACATATTTATGCTCTAAAAGTTTAACCACTTACAGAAGTAAATTCTAATTATAGCTGAAGCCTGAAGTTATATCTTTTTCAAACAATATGGTTTAACTACTTACAGAAGTAAATTCTAATTAATCACAGAAACTGCACATTGCATATATTGATTTTCCACACATAAACACTAAATTGTAGAAGAAAAGAAACCAAAAGACCAAATCCATTTTATTTCACATGGATTAAAATAAAAAATTGAAAAGCCACTAGCATGCTCAAATTTGTGCATTTACCTGAATTGATGTTTCACTATCGATAAGATGCTTTCTCATCTCCATCAATTGTCCTTCTAAATCAGAAGAATGAGACTCCTCCTGTTCCACTTGCTTGATTAGTTCCACCATCTTTTTCTCATACATCTGAGTGGTGTCTGCAAGCACTTTTTGATATGTAGAACTCTCAAGTTGATGCTGCTACTAACAATAGATTAGCAATTAAAACCAGCACTCAATTCTTACTTACAGCTAAAAACAATTAGTCTGCGGATATCTATAAAAAAAGAGGATTATATTACATATATAAATAAATGGAGAGGTTTCAATTACTGACTATGCTACCATATTAATATTTTAAAACATAGATTCAGGAAACAAAGAATGCAACGAAGTTTCGAATGTATTACTGCTATTAATAATTATGAATTTACAATACATGCTCATCATCTCCATATGCAATGTTGAAAAAAAAAATTCGTGTTACGTTATTTCGTGTTATGTGACTTAACAAACCATAAACACTGCCTAACATTTAAAATAACACAAACACGTGTACACTATTTCAATATAACAGAGACATTTTCAATATAACATGCCTCATTTTGATATAATTTACGTTATATCGAATATAATTTACAATAGACACTTTAAAGTATTTTCTACCTTTCATTTATTTAAGACTTGATGTACTTCCATACTTGCTTCTGGATTGTTTCTCAATACTTGATGTCTTTTTCCAATGTTGTGATATGCTTGTGAATTTGAACCTAAGATTTGTGAAAAACGTAATGAATGTGAAATTCTGAATGAGATGTGAATTTGTGACTGAGATCTTTGGATATTTATTATGGTGTATGTTAGTAAATTAGTATGCCTTGCATTAGATTTTATATTTTCATAAAAATAAATAAATTTTTATATTTGAAATCATGTTCCTATTTATTAAAATTATTAAGGACATTTTTTGTATTTGTGTTGAATTTAAAAAAGAACTAAACAAGTAAACCTACATTAACCTTCATGTTACATGCCCTCTAACCTAACAAGAGGAAGAGTGTGATGTTATATGTTATTGTTATTTTCAACATTGTCCATATGCATACGTTTTGCTAAATGAGCTACCAAGAGATGAGTGGTGAAGCCCACTCATCCAATATGACAAGTAGGGGGCCTCACCATTATCACATCTCTTGGCAGCTCATTTAGCAAAATGTGTTGCCACCATATACACATAATTTCCATATATATGTACAGATATGCATATATGCAAGTGTGTGTGTGTGTATGCAAATGCGCGTGTGATTACACACACATGTATGTATGCATGCATTTGACAACCAAACTTGCAAGAGATGTTCTTCAAGAATAAGAAGAACTTTACTCACACTAAATTAAATAAGATTAAGCTGCAGAGACATATTTCAATGTTCACAAATAAAGGAGAATATTAAAAGGTACCTTGTTTTGCTTTAAATGCATTTCTAAATGAACAAGTTCTTCGCTCATTGCACTGTTCTGGTCCTTAAGCAGGTTTAGCTCCTCCAACAATTTTTTGTTCTCCAACTCCAAATGAGTACTCTCTCTTTCTAAATGCTACAAGGAAGGGAATGCATTGTCAAATGGTAAACAAGAAACAGAAAAGACTTGAAACTGACCAAAAATATTCTAATGTTAGCTTGCCTTACAGAGAAGACGATAAATGTATGCACAAGTGATGTATAGTTGTATACAAATGATACTACTAAAAAGCAAAAATTGTAGTTTGGTTAACAAATTTAGCAAAAAAGAGTATTTAAAACATATTGCATGGTTATTTTATTTATGATTTTACTCCACTGATATTAGTTTATATACACTGTTTCAGTCTTCAAGTACTGGTGTCCATCCATATTAGACACGAAACGTGTGTCCATCCATATCGGTTACTTCTCTAGCACTTTTGATGCTATTTGCATGAGAATATTATATGTGTGCGTGATGACACACACAGGATTAGGGGATGTTTGCCTAGGCTGCGTGATAGTTTGTGGAATAGGAATAGTTTTTAGCATGTGGACAAATGACAGTTTTAGTTAAGGCCTTAAGGTTTTCCAGTGGAAGGCAATTGTGCCTGCTTCCATATCCAAACCCTACATTTGACACATCATACCACAAACAAATAAATCCAATCAGTGTAAATGATCAAAGTTCGAAGGGTGGCATCATATACATCAGCAGCAATAGCAAGCTAATAAGGCTGGCTACATACAGTGGTTTCACATACACCGTTTGAATTTGAATTCATAGAAACGTTCACTACAAAGCATAAAATAAGCATTTACATATGATTCAATGGTGTTCTTGTAACAGTTCTGAATAGCTTAAATAATAGGAGTATATTACATTTAGTTTTTTTACTATAGGAATCTTTAGAAGAACTATGAGGAATATATATGAACAATTTAAACTCTCCAAGAAACCAACATGGTAAGGGACAGTTGAGACTACATACTGATTTACAAAGCATGAAAAAATTACGGAGGACAAACTATAACCAAAATAACAAAGCAGAAAGTCATATGACAGCAAACAGCCTTAGTAAAATTAGTGGTTATGTACTTAAGAACCTCCCATAAAGGAACAACAAATGCAGATCATCAAGCAAAACCTAAATAATAAAGATCTTACCTCAGATTTTAAAGAATAATTGTTTTCTGCTTCAACTAATGACATCTGACACTCATTTAATCTCTGCTCCATCTGCACTTTCTCGTCATCTCTGTGTTTTTTCTGTCTTTCCATCTCCGAAGTAAGATAGTCTATTTGATATTCGAGCTTTCTACAGAGACTCTCATAATCGAATTCCTCCTTCAGCTTTACAATGTTTACCACTTTCATAGCCTGAAAAGTATGCATGTTATACAAACCAGTCCAGCAAGAATGAAGCATATAGATTATTTCAATTTCAATTACTAAAAATATTTAAAGAGTATAATGATCTCATGTCCACTAAAGAGCTCCAATTTCAGAAGAAAATGGTAAAAAAAATTATTAACAGAAAACCGTTATCCATCCTAACCATAGTTCTAAGTACAAAAAAATCGGTGATTACTAAAACAACTGTCACTATTAGAAATAAAAATAAGTACCAAGAATGCACTCATACATACCAGGCATTACAAATGAAGGGAAAAATTGTTTACAGATATTTTTTTCTGGCTGTTTGCAACATATTGGTTCAACTCAACATATTGCCTAGATGGTTTTTTGTTTCTTTTATGAACACGAATGTCACTGTAATATCGTAATTGCACGTGAATTTCAAGGCTTTATTGCTATTGATACCAAAATCAAACTAATTCAGATGATTTCCGTCAAGCCAGGATCAATCCCCAAAATTATCTGATGATCCTCAATGACAACATTTCTACAGAAACATCAAGCTATGCCTGGAACATTCACGTCACTTGTTCATCTAGAGTCCATAGATCAAACAAGCTACATATTTGGCAATCACTGAAAAACTTAAAAGTTCATACATTTTTCACCAGTATGTTACAAATTATTACAAACCATTAAGAATCTATCCACTTATCCTATGATTTACAAAATATGCATTATTCGTTATGAAGTTTTTGCATTCATTGTAGACCCAAGATGATTTCTGTCACTGGTTTCTCCTAGGATTTTCTATAGAAATGTTGTTCCACCTCTAATATACTAAATGTAGCCGCTAGGCACTAGCCACTAGCCAGACATGAAATAAGATACATTACTTGCCATCATCCAGCCCATCATATTTTATTACAGTAGATTTCTTCCTGGCCAATTTCTTGTGTATTTCTAGACGTTGACTTTACTGTAGAACGTACTTATCCTGAAAATTGTGACACTTTGTTTTAAATCTGTAAATTCAATATTCTGATGTAAATTTGTCTGGAAAGAGACTAGACAGCAAAATATAGACAGTGACTTATTCCAAACAAATTAATTCCTTCTTCGCATTATCACTTTCACATGATCATTTCAAACCAGTAAAATAGTTTTTGGGCCACCTGGATGCGCTAATGATTCCTGGCCAGAAGGAGATCATGTTAGCAAGAAGTAGTGAGATAACATCAAGAGAGAAAGCTAGCAATAAAAGAAATGGGACCACCGTTATAATTAAACGAGAAAGCACCCAAATAAGGTTTCAGTAGATCAAAATGATTTCTTTGGCAATCATACTGACCCGTTGTCCAAACATAATAGTGCTTGCTGTTTCAGAATAGTGCCGTGCTGATGGTCCAACTGTTATTATAAGAGATGTTCTTGCAGTTCCTACACAATATGAGGCAAAGATTAATTCATGTATATTAGCCTTTGTTAAGATAAACTTATCTGTACAAACACGCATTAGCATTAAGGGATCTCCTTCTGGAGACTTGAAATTTAAAATGCAGATGCATTATTCTCCCAAAACAAAACAAAAAAAATGAAGTCGGACTGGACTTTGTGTTATTAAGAATAATTCATTTGCACTTAAAATTCATGCTGTTAAGTATCATGCACCCAAAATTACCAATTCATGCTAATGGTGTTCAGCTACCCTCAAGATGCAGGAATCCATGCTTGATAGCTTCTCAGAAGGAGATGAAGATTATTGTTTAGCTGGTCATTGATTGAATCGAGAGAAAGAACCTCAGCCATAATATAGAGGAGAGGTATGACTGATCTAGATACCATGGAGGAAAAAACTTCATAGGAGATGGGAAAATAGAGAAGACATATTAGGGAGAGATGCATAGTTACGAAATGCGAAGAATCCACTTCAAACCGTCATACAGTTCACATGCTCTGGAAAGCAGTACATTGTGTAGTGGTTTCCTCTGATACGCCAAAATCGGCATACTGCTTACAACTCACAGAAACTCAGAAATTGAAGTAGAAAAGAAAGCACACAGATGGAGGGGTACAACAAAATCAGTTTTACTGCTGAAAAAGTGAAAATCACAGGAACTGGAGTAAAAAAGAAAGCAGATTAAGCACTTAGTCTATAATTTATGTTAGGGTCTTCTGTATTCATAAATTTTGAAAGTTAAGCATTAAAATATTTTGTAGCAAAAAAATTTTGAAATGGCAAAAAATAGCTTTCAATTTTCTAGTTTTCTACTGTACACTTTGAAAAATGATAACCGTACCCAAAACAATTTACACAATGTACCACATAGCAAACTTGCGTACTAAAGAAACCTACCCACCTCAAATTCGTAAATAGCTAAGTGGTGAATTGCTTACCCAAATTCATACCACAACCTGTTACATACAGCCTACCGTGTAGTGGAGAGATGAATTGGACATCAGAAGTATTAGACTTTACTTAAACACTCACTAGCTTGGTGACATTCCACCAACATGTACTGATCACGTACTGAGTCACCAAGAAATCTAAATTCATTGCAAAAACTAAAAATTACACGCACGACATGCAGACATCATGTTACTTGACCTCATGCCACTCTTTGGGCATCTAATAGGAAAACAAGCTCTTAATCTCAAGTTACCTAAAGATTGGCTGTTATCAAGTCAGAAATAGCCAAATAATCCAAATTAAATCCCACCTAACTTAACTAACTGAAGACTAGACCCAAACAAAAATGAAAGGACATGACCAAAACTCAAGCCCAATTTTATAAAAGAATAACTAATAAACTTGTAATGGATCCCTTTTTTCCCCTCCCCCTCGCAAACTATATCATTTTTCTCAAGTCTTCTGCATAGTTAAAGTTACCTCGAAGATTCTGTTAAGGCAATAAATTAGTTTGGGTCTAAAATGGATATTTCATTGATTGGCAAAGAGCAAGTTAACTTTCTAATCAAAATACAGATTAATTTTTCATTATTTTTTAACGTAAATGTTTAAATATTTTACTAATTAGATCAATTTAAGATGCTAATTGTGTTGTAACTACAAAGGGACAAATATTTTGAGAATTTTAGTCAAGCGCTAGAATAACTTCTCAGTACAAGTACATCATTTTATAAATTGACTTTTCCTCATCAAGTTTAATTTATCATATGATCATCCAATGATAAGTTAGTTATAAAGATTGGCTAAGTAAAAGGATTTTATTCTCTTGCTGTCCAGTATTTTGAACTTATTAAATACTGATGGTATGGCATATTTGTACAAAGTAGCTACGTCATTCCTTTCTTGCAGATGTATACCTTATCAGTTCAGAACTCAAATTTCCATTTATCTATACATGTTTTAAAAGAAAGTAGGCATGGCTAGTATATCCGTAGAAGTAATATGGCACTCGATTTCAGAGTAGTTGAACAAGGGTGAGGAAGATATAAACCAAGGGAAGATAGAAAGGCTTCATGATGTGCTAAAATGAAGAGTTTCCATATACCATAATAGAGTCTGTGAATCCATTAGATGAATAATACCCAAATAGTGAACTATGACTATATCTATAAATGACTTACAAAAATCTCAGGGAAGAAAAGGATCAAATTCATGAATTACTGGATTTCCAATTACAGTAAATCAAAGAGACCAAAACATTTGAATTCTAGTATGTAGAATGACAACATTAACCAAAAAAGCGTACCAACCTCCAGTATGCTGAACAAATACGTGAGCAAGTAAAAAAAGGAAATTATTGCACAAAAATTAAGATGAGAAAATGAATAATATAGCCATTTGTTTTCAGGACTATGCTTAATTGGCGATGAACTTCTATTGAACCGAAAAAGAAAAAAGAAAAAACAAGCTACATAATCAAATTTGTCAATTATAGCCTACAGAAATGCTATGAAATAAAACAATAAAAAAAACTAAAAATATAGGGCAGAAGATAGAGGGAAGAACCTCCAAATGAGTCGCGAAGCAGCCTAGTGAGCTTTGAATCTCTTGTTGGTATATGAGGACTGTTTTCAGCTAATGCGTTAATACATTTTCCAAGAGAAGTAAGTGACAGGTTTATAAATTTTGCCTCTTCAAGCATGCGACCCTCACTACCTTCAAAGTAGAATTTTGTTTAGGCTATATAAGGTAATGACATAAGTAAAATGATAAATGTATAATACAGTTTCAGCATTTAAAAGGGCAAATTCAACAAATAATGTTTTCAAAATCCTGATGAACATTATCTATAACTACTCTTCAAAAAAATAGTTTAGGCCCATGTCCCCCTTTTCCTCCATACAGGGGTATACTGGGTATTAAAATCTTTTAATCATTTAATATATTGAATTATTTTTAAATATATCAAATAAACAACTTAAAATACTGAAACCTTCTAAGTCTATTTTATTTATTTCATAACAAATCCAGATAAATATACACAGATCTATTTGTCATACAAATTTAAGCACTCAATCAACTAATCTCTCTATCTCTATCAATAAGTTATTGCAAAGTATATACTTAGAAAGCTGGCAATTATATATTGTCACAGATAAATCATATTGGAAAACTGAAATAAAACCAGTCAACTAATTTTTGTAAAAAATATTTTGTTGTATATAAAGGTCCTATAGAAAATTTGAAATCTACTATCTGTGATCTACTCAGAGTCATGTATGTATACAATCATCACTCCTTGGATATATGCATATATTTATTCAAACGTGTATCCAATTATATGATATATATTTTTTTTAATTTAAAACACTTGTCATACACTTCTTGCACGTTACATCGTATATCCTACACTTCATATCCATTTCTTGAAACTCGTTACACCTTGTTCAAGTTTGTTTCAGCTCATACCCAAGTTCAAAATTATGATTTAAAAGGGTCCTTTTGAGTGTTTAGTTAAAAAACGAGCTGTTTCCAATTTATAATTATCAACATAACAAAATGTTAGAGGACTCTTAATTCTAATAAGACATGAATTGAAAACACTAATACTCATGTGAATCATTAATTTCAATACTAATAATATATATATATATATATATATATATATCATATGTTGCCTGTTGTGTGTGTGTGTGTATGTTGTGTGTGTGTGTGCTGTGTGTGTGTATATATTGGTGTGTGAATTGTGTGTGTGTGTAGTGTGTGTGTTTGTGTATCATAGTGTGTGTGATGTGTGATGTAGTTGGTGTGGGTTGTGTTGTGTGTGTGGGGGGGTGTGGGGTGTGGGGTGGGTGGGGTGGTGGGTGGAGTGCGTGTGGTGTTGTGGGGGGTGTGTGGGTGGGTGGGTGTGTGTCGTGATGCGTGTGTGTGTGTGTGCGTGCTTGTTACGGTCAAGCACTAATTGGTGTCCAGTACTGAGGCAGCGCACTTCTCCATCCACTGCAATTTAATAGGTGGGTAAAAGTGAGGACCATTTTCAACGGGAAACATATTTAAATCTGTGCAGATGAGAGTACGCACATCATACAAAGCACCGGTTCACACCTCACAAACACACACAACTACCCCCCCCCACCATATTTTACCAAATTTGTAGTGTCCAGCTACTCACACTGTTTCCATGCAACAGAGGGTTACAGTAATGAGAGACTGTTGAAACTAGTTGGTCACAGTCCTATCAAAGCAAGCATGATATGAACTGAAATTAGTTACATTGTGCCACATCTAGTTTACTACAGAGACTTACAATCTCCTTTAACTAACTAGAAGCAAGAAGAGGTAATGCAGTGCCACTGTTCTGTCTTGTGTTCATTACTGTTAGTCAAGGGCTCAAGTTATACTTCAAGGATAGATCATATTTTTACATAAAAATAGATAACATGTCAAACATTGCAAAGAGCAAACAGAAGACAATTAACAGAGATTCAGTTAAGATGTGCCCTGCCAGGGCATTCTTGGATATTTTCTTACGTTTATGAGTTAAAAAATTGCTAAAACTCAGCGCAACCTGGGTAGAAGACAGTGGGTAGAAGACAACCTATCTTGAACATAGCATTTAAAAGAATCAATAAAATAGTAAGCTCTAGTAAAAATGTTTCAAACCAAAAAAAGTTTGCAATATTTCCTCTCCAATCTCCATGTATCCGTCTTTCTGAGCCTTTAAAAAGAGCCATTTGTTCTTCTTTTCTCTATACATAGTCCATTTGAGGGCCAGTGTTACGATTGATGTATGTTGCTGGAAAACAAACTTAATCTAGGGTTTACAGCTTAGTGAATAATGACTACCTCATACTCCTGATCAATAAGAAATAAATAAAAGGATTTGATGCCAATCCTGGGTTTTCCAAAAGCATTGTACTGTGGGTGCAACTAGGAACTACATGTACATGCTCAATAAGCAGAATCACACAGGCTATCATAGAAAATGATAAAAGATGAAAGAACCAATAATTAAACGAATAAAAGATATAGTAAAACAGACCAGATTTATCTATCCTTTCAGATCCTGCAAGGTCAACAATCAACAACTTGCTTTTGAGTAGAACTCGTAGGTTGCGAGAAGATAAATCACTCCTGATATCATTTCCTGGTAATAAAACCTCATTTTCTTGTTTAACTTCAGGAGATCTTTGAATATGGACCTACATATATCCATGCGTTGGATTCAATGACAAGTTAAATAAAGGAAGCAATAAACCAATCGAGAAACCAGCATAAACAAGAGAAAAAACCAGTCAAATAAGCTCACCATTAAGATCGCGTGACTTCGAGAAGATTCAGTATTAAGCTTGGTATTTGCTGCATGGCGGTTGGCTTCACCAATTTGCAACAGTTCTAAGAACTGGTCAAGGTCCCTAATTCCAACTGTCGTACAACCAGGCAAAGCGACTTCACCTGTCTTTGGATCCTCAACAATAGGGATATTTGTTTTCTCAGGTGCCAGGAGATCTTGTATAGATTCTAAATACAGCTAGAACAACAAGAAACAAGTTTGAGCTGATGTAATCTTTCTTTGGCTAATAAAATTGCTAGTTTGAACTTGAAAGATCATAAATTAGAAGAGGAGCCAAATTGCTAGTTTGAACTTGAAAGATCATAAATTAGGAGAGGATAATATCATAAAAAGGAAAAAAATCTACCCACAAATGACTGAAACTATGAATGTTAAAAAGATGAGCCTAAGAAGTAAGAAAATTAACATATCAGTAGCTTGTGGATGAGCCACCATCAACAAGCTCTAACACAATAAGCCAGAAGCATCAATAATAACCATAAACAGTCAGTAATTAACATTCTTAGATACTAAACATGCATTTAGATTTTGAAACTTTAGTTGCTAAGTATTATTTTCAGTTCATGAAATAAATAGGCATTTAAAGAAAGTTATCTCTAGTTGCTCTTATAAGTTCTTCATTCAAATGCTAAAAAGATGGCAACTATTTAAAAAGAAACATGCTTTCAAGACTTAAAGCCTTGTGACACTCTATAGTGTCACTGTCATTAGCCAAGGTCGTAACCTGTAGGATAACTCTTTTGTTCTAGGTGTCTCCTTCCAAATGCCCAGTAACCTGATGTAGTACTAAATAGAAGGGAGGTTCCCTTGTCATCCCCCTCATCACAATCAAATATACAACCAGAGAATGCATCACCATTATCATTATTGCCATAAATTTCATCTACAGAGTGGTGCTAGAAAGCTTGATGCCTCCAATTCTTTAATTAAAAATGGTAGTCCTCAAAATTTCAATCAAGTTTTAAATCAATTTATTAAACCATGCATTGATTGCTACGATGTTCTCTGATGGAGCCTGTGCTTGTACATACAATCCATTGAATATAATAAAATGTCGCCATGTACCCTCTAAAAATATCATATGGTTCCAATGTCTGACATTCTGGATATGTACATTTAACAGTCTGTGTCCCATCATCCCATGCACATTGAGTGTGTATCTAACTATTGTCCATTAAGATAGGATTGACGATGGAGAAGGTTCAATGAAGTTCCAATGAACTTATGACTGGTTGTCAATCTGACTTGACTATTAAGTTGACCCAAATTGCTGAATTATGGGCGACAGAAGGGATTGACATAAAGTAGAAAGTGAGTTATGCCCATGTAGCAAAGCAGGAGTTTAAAATTATACTCTAGAAGAGGTGAAAATAAGTGCATTATAGTGACTTCCATTCATCACCGGGGCATGGCATAAACCAAAGAGCACTACTACATGCAGATTCTGGGGCAATGATAAACAGGTTCGAACTTGTATGGCAGAAATTACAAATCAAAAATTTATGTAGTTTTTACATGTAGAAAACAGGTTAATAATGCAAAGAGGAGAAAAATAACAAACTTCCAATTCACCCTTGGTTAGCAATGACTAACGATAATATATCCTCTGCAAACATGTCCCACTGACTAGTAGCACAGAATATTTTAATGCTTTTGAAATAAGCAGTTTCAAAATTATAGGAACAGGAAACTTAAAGACTGATATGATTGGCACATGATGAAGCTAAATAGATCCCCTCTGTATCCACAGCTCTAAATTCATTCAGAAATTACAATCCTAAGGAAAATGACAAAATTCATTACCTGCATGTAGGAAACAGCAACAGTATCAACCCCAGGTGACGTATCTATGAGAATATCCTCCACAGCCCTCACCATAATGCCACGCTCAGAAGGATCATCTTTACCAAGCTTACCAACTGTATATGTTTTCCCAGTACCTGTTTGACCGTAAGCCATCACTGTTCCATTATATCCATGTAACACACTCTGCACAAGTATATTTAAAAACTAGAATTATTAGAGACAAATTAGAGAATCTGTTACTTTATAACTCTTTTATAGCTTACAAATACTTGAGCACTCTATGTTCCTGGATGGAAACCTTGGCTCATTCCATGAAAACATCTAGTAGCAAAGTAGTGGCAATTTATGCATTTATTGGAATTAAACAGGAATTTCAACTGCAAAAACAGGTTCTCCCAATTTACACTTATTTTATGTACACAGAAAACTTTACCAACCTATATGCAGTGCTGAAATAACACATAAAAATTATTTTAGTAAGCTGATAAAAAAAAACTTCTAAAGTTCCTTACCTTTAGCAGTCGTTCAACATCACATAAAGTGAATGCTCCCAAAATGCACGTCATTGTTTGTGCAAGAAAGCTTATGTCTTGACAATATAGGATACAAAACTTCCATTGGTTTATAAGTTATAACCAATAAAAAGTGAAACTACAAGTCAAACAACTGCAAATTTTAACATAGGTGAAGTATAGTCAGTTACTTCACATAATTGTCGGAAATCAAAGTAAATTTGTCCCGGCCCCCTCGGTTCATGTCATTTATAGTAGTGTTATATCACAAATTAATCCATAGTATTTAGCTATAATCTACTGGAACCCAAAAACCAAACCAATATCATATCATTAGTAGAACTCTATCATGCCCGCACTGATCAAGTACACAATTGACCACTATAACCTCAGCTTTGCCTGCAAGTTCTTGATTTCTGTTTACAGAAAGTAGATGCAAATAACTTTCATGATCCAATAATGGTGGTTTTAGAAAAGAAGTAAATGCAGCATGAGGATTGAGGACAGTTGGAAGAGAGAAGAATCCATTCCCTATCACTATGCAGCATCAAGGTTGAGGGGAGATACTGAGAGAGGAAAAGTTTTTTTGACTTATATAATTTGGATTTGGATAATAGGTTCTCATCTGATCTACTTTATTCATGTGTTACTACGCTTAAACAGGCCACATGCTCGTTTTTGACACAGTGTATCCAGCCTAAGTTATCACGCACTGTTAGGTACTTCAACACTTAATTTGGCGTGCCCAAGCCTAAATTGGATGGTGTGTAACTCCTCACCTTAGGTGGAAACCTAAGCAAAAATCCAAGCTGCTTTCAAAACAAGTGTCCTTAACACAATTAAAAAAACTCATGCAGCTTATCTACACTTTTGAGATAAAGGTATAATAGACATCAAAAATATTGTTGTTGCTTTATCCACTACTGTAAGTCTATAAAGGACATCAAAAGTAGTAATATTTATTAAATGATCCTCAATCACTTGATCTCATGAATTATACAATTCATACTTAGCTCGTCAAACAGGAAGCCGGAGAAGAAAACCATTTCCTCATAACAGAAGGCAAGCGTTAAGAAAAAAACGTTTCTCCATCATCCATTTTTAAAATTCTTAAGTTCAAGTGCTATATCAATTCTTAACTATAGACTTACAGTTAAGATTTAGATTAAAGCCATGCCATTCTTCAAAAATGGTCAGCACAATCTCACTCCTAAACATTGATGATATAAGCCATCAAGGATTGAGAACCCACTACTTGCACACTTCACAAAATGATGTAATTATGTGAGAAAAACAACCAACATGTTATAATATTAAGAGGAGCATACACAATCAACCATATGATTGACTGACATATGACGGTTGGGCTTAAATCACAGCTAGTATCATGAAGCGAGTTTTTCATTATAGCGAAAAACCAATTGTTAAATAAATGTACATTTACATGCAAGAAAATAAGGTTAATGCCAGAAGTCCGTTGCTTACCTCTACTACAGGTTTCGCGACAGCCTCATAAACTCTCTTTTGAGATGAATTTTCTGTAAGAACCTCATCAAATCTATAGGACTCAGAACTCCAATTGTTTTTTCTCAACTTTATCCTCTTCAACTGCATGCACCAGACCAAACAATATATATGAGTATAAACATAAGCAAGTAAGGTAACAGTTAGACAAGACAATTTGATAGAATGCAACTTGTATAAAATCATAAAACATTACAATCGATGATTATCACAGATAGGATTTATTTTTATATAAAGATTATAGCAATTTCAATATCCTGGAGGGGGGGAAGAGAGGCCAAAAACCTCAGGCTGTAACTCGATACAGTCAATAAAATCTGTTCCATAACCAACATCGTCAGCATTTTTAGGCCGGAGTCTAATGGCAACTCGCACTCTCTCAGAATCTATCATAAGAGCAAGAAACATACATTAGTTTTCTAGGAGATGACATACCAACTATTTAACATGCAATTTGAGAAGTAGAAATAGGTCAAGTTTGCAATAGCTTTGATAGAAATAGAATAATTGTAATGTTGCTGAATGAAACTTAACCAACATCAGATAATTTTCCATATAAAGAATGGTAAGTCAATCTACCTGCCAAACAGAATAATTGAAATTACCAAAATGGATTTCATCATACCATATAAATAAATCATCTTATGCCTTCACATAGACTTAATCTGCTGATTTCGCTCTAGAGGTAATCTGAGGATTGCTTGTTTGTCACATAAGTTTAGGTTGTATGACAAAGAATGGTAAGTCAATCTACCTGTCAAATAGCCGTCAATGTTCTGCAATATGAACCTCATTGTTGTTAATCATTGACTAGCCTAGGCTTCTTTGTCACATAAGTTTAAGTTGCATTACAAGGAGGGGTAAGTCCATCTACCAGCCAAATAGTCATCAGTGTTTCGTGGTATGAATCTTTATTGTTAATCAATGACTTTCCTAGGGTTTATCTAACTTGATAGGCTACTGTGACACCTTCGGCAATTCTTTTGACAAACTGTCTCAACTTGTAGTCATGCTCGACAGCCAACACATTGATGGACAAGGTCTTAAACGGTATGACTATGTATTAGGCAATATTGAAAAGAAAAATAAAAGTTAGTAAAAAGCTCATTACCATGAGAAAGAACCAAGGTTGATAAATATTCTGTCACCCACTTAAAGGTTCAACAAGCCACTATCACAATCCCACACTCCAAAATTCATCGTGTAGTTTTGCTCACGGACAAATTTTTAAAAACAATCCTTTTTCAAAATTAATGAGCAAAATCGACCTTTTCACAAAAAAAACATCAAAATCGACCCTTGTCATCTCAACTCAGATGAAAAGGGTCGATTTTGCTGGGGGTAATTTTTCAAACTACACGGGAAGATTTTGCTGCAGGTAATTTTTCAAACTACACGGGACTACTAATCCCGTGTAGTTAAAGCATGCTAATCTAGGATTAGCATGTCAAACCAAATGGATGTGACTAGTAGTCTCGTCAATTACATGTCAAAGGGCCAAACTCGTCCTTTTCTCTCTCTCTCTCTCACTGATCTACAGGCGAAAACAGGAAGATGTCGAAGCCCTGGGGCAGCATCGGCGCCTGGGCCCTGGAGGCCAAGCTCGCAGAGACCGAGGAACGCGAACTCACCGTCGTCTTTCCTCCCGATCTATTCTCGTCCCTGAAGGAGGCCGCAGCCTCCTCCAAGTTCCTCACCCACGACGAGCTCCTTCGCCTCCCCACGAGCCCCAAGGAGCGCTCCACCGAGGAGCTTGAGGGCTCCCATGGGTTCCGGTCCTAGGGATGCGGTGTCGGCGAGGGCGCGGGACCCACAGCTAGGAGGCCCTACGACGGGGGGTTCGACGAGGAGGGGCGTCGAGGCCCGTCGTAGTCTAGGGCGCCCGATCTGGATATGCCCTTGAGGGCCGATAAGGCTGATAACTGGGCCGTGGGGGAAAAGGCGTCGTCTTTTGGGCAAGGACCAGGACGGCAGGACGATAGGTATGAATCTCTGGGGTCCAGGAGCTCGTCGAAGGCCGACAAGGTCAATAACTGGTTTAGTAACAAGAAGACGGTGGTCTCGGGACCACCGGTGCCTTCGAGGTACTCTGGATTTGGATATGGGTTTCATAAATCAGCAGTTGGATCATCGGATTCAGATAGATGGGCTCGAGGAGGAGGAGAGATGATGATGTCGAATGTTGGGGATCGTGGTGTGCCTGAGAGGATAAGGCTTGTACTTGATCCTCCGAAGGGGTAGACATCAACGTAGATGAGCTTTGACATGAAATGGACAGGACTACTAGTCCCGTCCATTTGGTTTGACATGCTAATCCTAGATTAGCAAGCCTTAAATACATGAGACTAGTAGTCCCGTGTAGTTCAAAAAATTACCCACAGCAAAATCGACCCTTTTCATCTGAGTTGAGATGAAAATGGTCGATTTTGCTGTTTTTTTTTTGAAAAGGTTGATTTCGCTCAATAATTTTGAAAAAGGTTTGTTTTTAAAAATTTGTCCTTTTGCTCACAGGCATTTCCTTCCGACAACTAAAACCAACTATATTCTTACAGTATTTTTATTCATCTCAGCACACAAAAAAAAAACTAAACAAAAAACAAAAAAGATCGAACAAAGGGGTAGTGGGTTACTAATGCAAAAGATTGACGTTTATACATATTCCGGTACATCTTTGGTTCTAAAGTTTTGATAATTAAAACCATTTATGATAATCTCCTCAATACACATCAAAACACCAACTTGAAAGAGAGAAGTAGTAGGGATATTCCAATGTGATCGTATCAGAATGCGTAAGTTAACCAACTCAATCCAATACCAACTAAGCAATTCCATGACAGGATTTTAAATAAAAAGACAAATTTTTTTCTTTCAGAACAGATACAGACAGGATAAAGGATTTCCCTTTCCTCAAAATCATCTAAAAGCATGAAATCTACTGTACTAAACACCAAGAATGCCACTTTATCACTAAACAAAATCAATAATAAAAAGAAAAATAAGTTGTAGACATAACCAGCATCAAAATCCATGGAGGTCCTCAAACTCGAAGCAACAGACCGCTTCACATTGGCCGGCTTCGAGCGAACCGAGTGGGTGCCGCCGCCGCCCTTCGAGGGATGGATCTGGCGAAGAGAAGCGCGCGAGTTTCCATTGGACGCCATTGCAAGAGATCAGAACCCTAGAAATTTTAGGGGTTCTTTTTTCCTGAGAAAAAGGATAATTAGAAAGAGGGGGCTATTTGATTTGAACAAGGATTGCTGCCGTTTTTGGTTTGGGCGTTGAGGCCGGCACGATCGGCTTCGCCAGTACGCCACGAAGTGGTTTTTTATTGTCTTCGGTTGGAAAATATAAAATAAAATAAAATAAATAAATTATGGGATGAAGAAATTTGAGTTCTCCCGCTTTGTGTCGTCGCTTGTGAGTGCTCGGGCGGCAGTACTAGAACGGAGCCTGCGCCTTTTAAAATTTTGAAACAAAGAAAAACTTAATGGCCTGTTTGGATGGAGGGTAGAGAGGGGGAAGGGAAGGGAAGGGAAGGGAAATTTCATTTTAACCTTGTTTGGGAGTTTCATTTTGGAGGGTAGAGGAGGAGAATGGAGGGGAAATTTGGCCCAAATTCTTACACCCCAAATTGGGGTGTAATGGAGGGGAAGGGAAGGAAGGGGAAAAATTCCCCTTCCTTCCCCTTCCTTCCCTTCCCTAAGTAAACTCCCAAACACACCATAAAAGAAAATTTAATTTTCATTTAGCCCCTCTTTCATTATTTTATTTGTATTTTCGGTTATATCGTTGCTTCTTTCTTCATAAGAAGGATGATGAATGTATCATTGTAATTGCGATCCATTTATGCTGCACTGCTTCAACCAAAGGGTGTCATCACCACTCAGATCTTTGGAGTGTCTCATAAAACCTCCCTGAATTATAAACTTTTCTCACCGGTCCCCCTACATGCAATTTGCAAATACATAAAATTTCTTTGAGAGGTAAAAAAAATCTAAAGTTTAGGAGAAAGGACATGTTGCCTGCAAAATGACAAAAAATAAAGTTTGAGATTTTTTTTCTCTCAAAGATATTTTAGTTATTCGCAAATCACAGGAGTTTAAGAGGTTATGTGAGATAAATAAAGTACATGACGGTTATGTGTGTGGAGAGAGGCGGTGGAGCGTGGTATGTGAAGTTAACCCTTATAGTTCCCCCTTAACTTTGTTATGTATCCATGCATCACCTACATCATAACATGTCTACTCTTTAATGTGCAAAATGTTGTTTATTTTTTGGATTACCCGAAACAGATATTTTGTATAGTCAAACAATCAATGTGACTTCGAGACAAAAGTTTTACTTTGCTAGTTGTTATGCCAAGCTACGTCCGAGGAAACGAGGCATCAAATGAATACGTCATGTCAGCCTAAAAATAAATATTCGTAAATGGGTAGTAATTAAAATTTAAAAGATTTCCGTTGAGTCGATGCTGAGGCAGGCCTACACTTAGCTCCAAATAAGTCGAGCCTGGACACTGGACAGAGTTAAGTTCGAGCAGTCAATTTATTTCACTCAACGTATCTATTCGTGATTGGTTCGTTTCTTCGAATTCTCAAATTTCAACTAATATATCCTGAATCATGTTTCAAGTTTCCTAAACCTAAAGGCAACCTCACAGTATAATAAAGTCATAAAATAAAATAAAATAGAGTTAAGAGTAATATCCAAAATTAAGGCAGCGACCAGACCCACACCCAATAATTTTGGTGACCAGCTGACAAGAGTGGAGTGGCGATGCATGTGAAGATGGTGGTCCTACGTGGATAAGATTACGGAGCAGCGAAAGGATGAGCCTTTTTTTTTTCCGTCTGTGATCCATGCGAGGCCCAAAACTCAACAAACCTAACATCACTTAAGCTGGATATATGTGAACTTACTATAGATCGAATTAGCAAATTAGTAATACAAATTTTTTATATTTCTGAGATCCATATCTAGATCTATGTTAGGGATCTAAAACAAAAAATTTAGACCGGTTTCTGATCAGTTTAGTAGTAAAAGTGGATCTTTTTCTTTTCTCTCCCCGTCTTTAGAAGAGCATGATACTGATAGTGACAACGAACGTGGTCTGTTTGCCAAAGAAACAAACCTTTTTTATACTTTCGGTTTGCTAACATTCATGTTCATGTTGATAGATACAGCAGGAGTAGGGCTCATCTCATAAGAAAGAGGAATTATGATCATTGTCCAGATTCAAAGGACAAGGAACGTCCACCTCCTTTTAACAGTTCATTTTTCAAGTGCGAAAAGGTGATATCACTCAATTACACGTCCAATTTATGGAAGCACTCCTCAAGAGCATCAAGTACGCAAGTTCTTATATGGCAGTCTTTGTTCTCTTACGGCTCGCTTCAGAAACTCCGATGAATAGAGAGAAGCACTCGCCAGAGTATCAACTACTCAAATTCTTTTTCTATTTATCATGAAACTGCGGTGCACGTTACTACCAAAGCAATGATGGTGAGTATTTCTGGTCATACGCGAGAATGTTTAAACAACGAGGATCGAGCAAAATTTCTTCAACACGGTATTCTATATTCAAATGAATATACATACTTTCATCTCTGACGATAAAATACACAGTGAAGCTCAAGAGAAAACAGAAATTTCTCATGTTGGGGTGGAGAGACCGCCCCCTTTTTTTTTCTCTCTCGTGTCTGTAAAGACCCAAAAAGCACTTGAAGGGCTGAGAAATTGGATTCCTCTTTGCTTTCAGCCAGAGTACAAGCCGGAATCTTAGTATGAGGTTGGTGCAGACACAAACCCAATGAAACGAAATTAAAGCAAAAAAAAAAAGGCGATATAGCACGTGTCTATGTAGGCAATCCTCGTTGGCTCTCACAACCAGGGCAATTATGCAAGCTTTCATGGATGTAGATATCACAGTCAAGGCAGAAATGTTGCTTACATTTGGGGCAAGATACATGAAGGCTGGTTTTGGTTCCTGCATAAGGCTCAAGATATTAGAGAACAGTGATAGAAGCAGTATGTGCTCTATCTAACGCAGAAACTTAGTACATCACTTGAAAGAAAGTAAAAGATAATTTAACTTTACATTATTAGTTAATAATGAAATATGTCTCCATTTTGCACCTGCATCCTAAGCTCAACTCCGAAATGTATGTTGTTTTGCGGATAAATACAAAATGACAAAGAATTCCAAGAACCAGCTGGCTTTCAGTCCTCGTAAAGTTTAGATTGTTTATTGGGCCGAAATAACTCTTTCTCAAATATTTCAGAAAACTAAAGTGTCATTTTAATTATTATTTCCAGCTATCTTTAAGTTGAAGTCCAGTTTAAAAACCACCGTTAAAGTAGGAGGGTTAAATGGGAACCAACTTCAAACTTTAATTTACACAGAAACTACCATTAAATGGAGTTTTAACTTTCAATCAACCACCTTTGGCTGATTTCTGGTCTGAACTTACACTCTATCCCCATAATACCCATTCTAATATATGTGTTAAGCACATGCTCCACTTAACCCACCGGTCCCACTCTTAACCTCAATTCTCTCTCTATTCAATCAAACCCTAACACTAATCTTCATTCCCACTCTCAATCAAACTCTAGAAATGGGAGATGAGAAGGACCCCTCTTTGGAGGAGGATGTGGACAAAGCTGAGGCCGATGAAGGTGAGCAGGGATTGGCGGATGGTTGAGGGGTGGGAGAAGAGCTAGCAGAGGATGGAGGATGTAAGGTTAGGGTTAGGGTTAGGATTTGGGGAATGAGAGTGGGAGAGGGTGATGCGGGAGCTGTGAGAGTTTATTAGTTTTTGGGGGGATTCCATTTTTGGGGTTTGATTGAGGTTGGGAAAGGAGATAGGGTTAGTGTTTAATTCAATAGAGAGGGGATCAATGTTATCGAGGCGCAAGGCACAATGTGGGGCGCAAAGTCGGAAAGTCCCCTTACACGCACCATGTGCAAGGCACACAACAATGTGGACCTCACTGAAGTGATGCACACCTCAAACAAATCATTTCCAACATAAAACAAACAAGCATAAAAGCAACATATTTATAATTTTTCACATAAAAAAATTAAGAAATAGAATTTCACCTACTAAATCACGAAAGAGGTTAATAACATAGTGAAGTTCATAAGTTTCCACAAATCATAAAATATGTTCAGTCTTTTATTTTTAAGAAGAAAATATGCAACAAATAGCTCTTGTAAACACTTTTTTTTAAATTATACAAATTAGTAATTACTAAGTCCTACTCCTCCTCCTCCTCTTTAGAGAGAGAGAGAGAGAGAGAGAGAGAGAGAGAGGGAGGGAGGGAGGGAGAGAACAAAGTAGCAGCTAGCAAGAATCAATCAAATATCGCATATTCTCATTTCTCATACGTCTAAAAATAAAATATTCAAGACCAATAGTTCATTAAGCATGTGTAAATGCATAATGATTCGGTATTCCTATCTTTTAATCATGTATAATAAACTGTGAATTAATCCATTAGATGCATAGAACATGGAAAAAAGGCAGCATCAATAGATTGGGGACAGAAACTCAGAATGAAAAAAATGCAGCAGCAGCAATAGATTATTAAAAAAACTAGAAACTCACCTGTTGCTGCCGCCTCGCCGGAGATGGGAGAGAGGGACTGAGGGAGGCGAGAAGATGGGAGGGAGAAAGGGCGAGGGGGGTTGGAGGGAGGGGAGCGAGGCGAGCAGATCGTGTAGACAGAGAGAGATTGGGGACAGAAAAAAAAAACCTAGCGATGAAATCAGCTCTCTCTGGGGTCAGGTAAAGGGTTTGGGTTTTGATTTTAAAAGTGGGTCTAAGAAAAAGTCGGGTTTCAAACCCAAAAACCAAGTCATACGTGATGAAATCAGCACTCTTTGTAGCGCACGCATCTGTGCACCCCACCTCATGCGCCATGCGCTCACGACTCACGAGGCACTTTGCAGGAGCGTGCCTGTGGAGTGTGTAGCGCTCCGCCTTTGCTGCAAGGCACTATTCCTCTAGGCCGAAGCGCCACGACTTTGGGCACGTCCCATGCACGCGCCTCAATAACATTGGAGGGGATAGAGGTTGATGATGGGTTAAGTGGGAACATGTGCTTAACATGTGTATTTAGTGAAGGTATAATGGGGATTGAGGGTAAATTTAGACCAGAAATCAGCCAAAGGTGGTCGATTGAAAGTTAAATTACATTTAAAGTGGTTTCTGTATAAATTAAAATTTGAAATTTAAAATTTGAAGGTGGTTCCCCTATAGCCAGCCTATTTTAAAGGTGGTTTTCATGAAGGGAAAAAAACATAATAAATATGGAAGACATCAACAAAATTAGTTAGGCACCTAATGTTCCCTAATGTTAAATATAGAGGTACTTGCTGCATAAAGATAAGATCTCCAACTACATGACTAACGATAAAACCATTTCTCTCTCCCTTTCTATTCTCCTAAACATAATAAATATGGAAGACATCAACAAAATTAGTTAGGCACCTAATGTTCCCTAATGTTAAATATAGAGGTACTTGCTGCATAAAGATAAGATCTCCAACTACATGACTAACGATAAAACCATTTCTCTCTCCCTTTCTATTCTCCTACCAATCATCATTCACCTGAGCTCTCAGGTCAATATCCCATGTACTATCAAGACTCTTGCTTTCCCCAAAAATCAGAACTTCAAGTTACCCTTAAAATTCTGAAAATCTGATTTAGACAGATTTGTTTCATTTAGCTGATAACTAAGGGTCACTGCTTATTCTAAAGCTCAATATATTAGTTTAATGTCACGTACTGAAGATACAGTGCATGAGGTAAAATGAGAATAACCTGCAACTAGTATTACCCAATATAATCTCTAGACAATTATCCCACTCTGAACATGGATAAGAAAGACTTAATTAATGGATAAATTTTGATCTCCTTTAAGTATTACCATAAGCTATTATCCCAAGATGTGGTTGTGCGCATGAACCAAAAAAACCTTGCCCAAAAAAAGGAGAAAAGAGAAAATTAAAGAATAAAAAATTAAAGAGTAAAGGGAGAGAAAAAAACACAGACACATGCAAAAGCAAATGCAATTGTATTCCTGACACTACCACATTATTTGATGAGTACACCATCAAAATCCTGATGCTAGTAGTGCAACAATAAAATTTCTTTGCACAAGCATGGATCGAGCTAGTATACATTACACAAGAGATCTTCATATGTGCACTGACATCAGATATGTTATAGCATCAAAGCCACGGAACAGATTAGACAAGGTGTTAGGAATCTTGACCCCAATATATGTTTATTTTGATGATAACAAATATTATATGTTGCATGTATTATGTGCTAACATTTGTTTTGTAGTATCGGAGCAAAATCGATAATGATATTCAAAGGGAGAATCAAGACATAAGATGAGTTCAAGGTTACAAGAAATAAAGAAGAAGCGCATAAACGTCACAATGTAATTTTTACATTTTCTTTACTTAGAAATATTGTACAAGTCTTGATCACTCACACACATACACACACATAGTATTTAGAACACACTAACACATGTTTAGTGTGTTATATCTCATTTATACCCCTTAGCAATTCGAATCTGGAAAAACTCAAAAGACCAAAATTGTAGGTCTCTTCAACAGTTTTTCAACAAATCTTAAATCACCTCATTCCGAGGTCGGATGAGAAAGTTACAACTAAAATACTGAAAATAAAATTCCAGAATCTGTGAGTTTACAATGTAGTCGACTACTATGTCTTGTAGTCGACTACTAAGTAATTTTCTGGCTTCACAGAGTCTAAGTGTAGTCGACTACTAAGCCTTATAGTCGACTACAGATACAATTTTTCTAGTTTTTCATAATTTGAATATATGACTGTTTATAGCCGTTTTTATCTGTTTATTGGGTTTAAAATTCAAGTTTTTCAAAGGCTATAAATAGGTTTAAACATCAGAAAGCTTCAACAAAGATTAGTACATATAAGATTCGAATTTTGTGAAAATTGATTCTCTCTTGATAAAAATTCTCATCCAAATGGTCAAGAGTTGAAATTCTGATATTGCCTTTTGTTCCCATCATTCATATAAGTTGATTAGGCAAATTTCAGAGAGTTTAAAAGGTCCCTAAGCCACTGCTGCACTTCACGATCATATCAAGGCTTATAGAAGTTATGTACTCTGATTCAAAGAAGGTTTCTCTCGGATTTGAGAGAGTTGATCTCTTAGTATAGAGATTGTTGCAATTTGCATGGTCTTGCAAATTGGTCAGGTTTGATTTTGATTTTATACTTGGTTCAAAATCATGGTGAAAATCTCAAACAAATTCGCTTGGAGACTGGATGTACACCGGGGAGGTGGAACCAGTATATAACCTTGTGTTTGTGATGTTTATTTTCTGAGATTGTTGTTCATTGTTATTGCAATTTATAATCTACTTTGCAAACTTATTAAATAACTCTAATCAACGCTCTCTAGTGTTTAGCATATGCTTCCGCAGATTCTACTCTTTGTATAAGAGAGTGCAACCCTACAATTATCATAAGTCAGATCCTACACAAGGATGTTACTTTATTTGCATAACAGAGGAAAGAACTTATATATGGGTCCAAAAAGATAGGTGACGTCATATTTAATACTATGATATGCCTTAAAAGAATCATGATTTTCCATAAATAACCAAATCTTTTCAATATATAATGAACTTATCTCATTCCTGATTCATTAAAATAAAGTAAAAGAATATCAATAAAGAAAAAAGGAAAATAAAAAGAAATAATGATTTATAATTGCATGATTTAAGAATGTAAATATAGCAATGAGCTTACCTGTGCTCCCTATGCTCTGTTGGCAACCATAACAAGTTTTTGGCTTCTGGTGCATTCTATTTAAAAGCACCTGAGGCACCTCATTGAATGGTGTTACAGGGAAGAGATGATGATATGATCGTGCCAAATGAGGAGAAGAAACAAGTGTAAGCCCGCAGAGTCGACACTCTGTTGGTAGTTCACAAACTCGTGCCTTACATCGTGGGCATGTGTAGCCTCCACCAACTTTTGCTTCCTTATGACATGAACAAATAGATATCGCGCCCTCAGCACCTCTTTGTGGGAATCCCATCTTGATTAAGTTAGCAGCTGCATATTCTGCAATTGCAGGTGGAGGTGGTGCATGCTCCAATAATAATTCCTTAAAATGGGACTGCCAAAGTAGTAGTTGCAACCTTGTTATTGAAGTACAACGGCATTTATAATAGGGTTAATTGTGGATAGACCCCTCTGCTATAACTAAATTGTGGATAGACTCCTGTGGTTCTATTGTTGCAGCCACTGAATGGAATTTTTGACTCTTCTACCCACAAGAAAGAGAATTGTTTTTATTTATAAATAGACCTCATGAGGGTAGAAGAGTCAAAAAAATCATCAGGCGGTCTACCCGCAACTGGGTGATAGTACTTCCGCAACTAACCCTATACAATAAGGAGATGAAGGATAATCAACTTGCCCCTCACCTCATCTAATGCCACAGTATAAGACCCCCCTGTCTCTTCACATAGATGTTTGCATATGAATATTTCAGCAGCAAGACCAACAACGGAGCACCTTATCTTGTCTTTTTTGCATTTCTTTACTGTCTCCATTATGTCACCAGGATCACAGGTATTTAGAGCAGAATACAGGACTAAGACCTCTCGATGGCCATAAGATGGAATTCGGCTTAGATATTCATGGACAAGCTCTAGGGAATTTTGCAAGGACGCATCTCCTGAGCATTCAAGCTTACCCATCAAAGCTTTAATCTGTGAATCTGGACTGCCACCAAGTTCTGTTAAGCACTGGGAAACACCATCTTTTATGGTCACGAGACCAATATGACTGAGTGGATTTTGATCAAAGAACTCCCTAATGAATATCTCAGCACCTTTTGCAACAACAGCCATTCGATTCGGACGATAATCTGTCTCTGAAGCAGCCTAGAAAATATGGAAACCATTGCACATCAATAAAAAAAACTGAATTTTATTAATCTAGAATTCAGGATAGCTAGAGCTACATGATGGATTTTATAGGATGTGCAATTTCCTCTTGTGAGATGGGAACAATGCTTTCTTATGGATTTGTTTAGCATGTCGAAGAACACTGTTGCTTGCCAGACATTGGATAGAAATCTTGTCAAGAGGTCTACTATAGTTTAGTTCAATTAACTACATAGCAGAATTATATTTCTTTCAAGAAGAAAACAAAATACAAACAAAGAAGTACAACATCAAATAGCTTACATACAGCAAAAAGAAAAGAATGGTGAAAAGCAAAGAAAAATGACTGAAAATGGGATGAAGCCAAAAAAAAGTCACACACATTTATTTTTAAGGTAAAAAGTTTTAAGGTAACACATGATAGGATTTACAGTTTACTTTCCGAACAGTAGACCGGTGCATTATAGTAGTTTACGGCACAACTTCCATCCAGAGAGTGTGTGTACAATGGTTCAGAAGAATCAAGAGTATTTGGTTTTAGGAATAAATAACAGTGTAAACAATAATCCTAATTGTGGCCATATCCATGTTTCAAAGGCTGAGATAGTTATGCAAATTCTAGACAACGAACAAGGCACCTAAACATAGACTCACCTAGAGGAAAGCAGATAAAAGAAACTATCTCAACCAACTGAAAGAATGGGAGATGTATTTTACATATAAGGTGAATACATTCTCAAGCAACCAAGCTTGAAGTAGTCACCCAAACTACCTATTTATGGTTCACAAGAGAAGACAGATTCTTTCAGGAACCCTATACAGCACACAATTATTGAATTACGCAATTAATAGTGAGGCACTGTCAAAAGAATAGATAGATAAAGAACTAAGGCTCTCCCCACTTTTGCTGAAATTCCATTAAACGATATGTTAATTCATTACAGTAGGTGCGCAATATGCACCTCTCATCACGGAGGCAACATAAGTTATCAAGTAGTAAAAGAAAAGGAGGACAATAAGCGGAAAAGCTTGCAAAAGATAAACTAGTATCAAAATGCTTCCTATTCCCTCTTCTTTGTCTTTGTTTTCTGGACCCTTGTATCCATGTGGAATTACAGATTGAGTAAAAAGCTGTGTTTCCTGTGTTTGCAAGTGCTTGTTTATCTTATATGCTGGTTGAACTTGACTTTTATATTCTTCTTTTATCAATAAAACCTACCTAACTGTAGGAGCTTCTTTAAAAGCATACAACTTTATACATGTTTATGATGACGTTCAAACAGAGGAACTTCTAAGCATTCCGTCATCTCAGTGTGCCATTGCAGGAATGGGATATAACAAACTTCACAATAAGGACTGAAACCACCAAGAACTACGTCCCCCATTCCAATCTAGAGTATGCTCTTTTTACTTCCAGACCATGGCTGGATTTCTAGCAGAGTGGAACAATGTGATAACAGACAAGAGGGTAGACCTTCCAAAGAGAGAAGCATCTGACTCTTCAGATATATACTCAACTGGCTCAGGGAACATACCTTGAGTAAAGCTTCACGTTTGAGCAGTGTTTTAAATGTCGGCCGACATGTCGGACATGTCGGCCGACATGTCGGATTGAGGCCTCAAACGACACAAGTCGGGGAATTTTAAGTCGCATATCGTTTTTAAGGGAGATATCGGATATATCGGCAAAAAGTCGGCCATATCGGCCGATTTTTCATGTTTGGAAAATCGGCCGATATGCTCTAAAATCGGTTCAGGCTCTTTTCACTTATTGGGTTTGGGTTCAGTGAAATCCATTTGACCTTTTATCGGTTCAGGCTCCTTCATCAAATATAGCAGGCTCTTTTCGAACCCGATAGACACGCGATCAAAACAAAAAACAGAAAAAACCCTAGGGCTCACGACTGGTAACCCATCAGCCTCCTCTCTTCATCGTCTTGCTTTCGTGGTCCTTACATCGAAATCGTCGCTGGCTTCTCCATTTCTCACGCCGCCTTACTCTCTCCTTCCCTGCGCCATCGGAAGTCGAAGGTAAGCCTCCCTGATCTCTCTCTCTCCATTTCTGGCGCCGCCTTCCTCTCTCTCTCTTTTTTTCCTTTTGAAGAACGCAACCGCCTTACTCTCTCCTTCCCTGCACCATCGGAAGTCGAAGGTAAGCCTCCATGATCTCTCTCTCTCTCTCCATTTCTGGCGCCGCCTTCCTCTCTCTCTCTTTTTTTCCTTTTGAAGAACGCAACTTAGAAACGAAACGAAAAAAGAAAATACAGAAAAATGTGAAGAAAATCGATCGATCTGAGGGGAACAAGGAGAGAGAGAGAGTTGACGTTTGGGTTTTTATGAGGAGATAAGGTTTTTATGAGTTGATGTTTGTAGAAAGTGTTTTTTATTATTATTCTTATTATTATATTATGGGTTTTTTTTCCTTTTGAAGAACTTTGTTAGGCAGCAGAATATATGTAGCCAACGTTTTTATGAGTTGGTGATTGCGATTTTGTCTCAAGCAAAGATTTTAAGAAAAAGTGTTGCACGGTGACAATTAATTAAACTTATTAATATATCGCTAATGACTTTTTTTTCTTTGCATTTTTTTTTTCTAGACTTTTAGTGTATTGTTGAGTCGCTGACTGCTAAGTAAAAGCAATTGTGTCTCAAAATCAGGTAAGCCTTCCCCTTGAATCTTTTCCATGTCAATAAAATTAATTTTAAGTTAGTAATTGAATTATAAAATTAAAATGTAACAAATTCAAATGCTAATGCATAGGAGATACTTATTAATAGAATCAAATTGTTTCAGGATGCAATCGAGAATCAAATTTCTACAATCGGTTAGTGATCCTAAACATCATATATTATTTACTTTTTTATATGTCTAGTATATAAAATTTATAAAGTATGCTTATATTAAATTTAGGAATGCTTAGATTACATTTAGGATATGATATTATACATATGCGCATCACCCGATATGGCAATCCGATATTTAGTCCATGTCCCCCGATATATCCCCGATTTCCGCTATCCGACATGGATTTCAGCCGTCCGACATGAACCCGACATCCGATATTTAAAACCTTG